GGAGGGGAAGGGCAGAGGAAGATGAGAATTGGAGAGTGGGGTGCAAAATACTCCATTGACACAAGGAGGCCCGCTTAGCTGCCCTGGGTCCGGTGGGGCAGCAGCGGGAGAGAGGAGCCTAGACTTGAGTGTGGGTGAGGGGAGCATGCAGGGCGCCGGGCTGGGTCCTCCCCGGGTGGAAAAGCAGGCGGGGAGGGCGCGGCTGAGTCACGGCCGCCCCTCGCTGCAGCTCGGACTCGCGCCCCTGCCAGGACCGGCCCAGGGGAGGCCACCAGGCTTCCAGCGCGCTGCCGGCCCGGGAATGTGACCAGCTGACCAGGGAGGGGGCCGGCAGGAAGTGAGGCCAACCGGCCGCCTCCGCGCGGTTCCGGGGTGGGGGGTCCCAGGCCGCGCCGCGCCGCGCCCCCCTCCCTCCCTGCTCCCGCAGCTGCGGCATGACGTCAGCAGCCGGGTTTGGGGCAGTTGCCGTGGAGACAGGGGCAGGCTCAGGAGGGACCCCATTCTCCCTTGCAGCCGCCCCTGGCCCGGGTTATTTTTAGCGCCTGTTTACCTCGGTCCTGGGCCGCCCCGCGGCGGGGCGGGGCTGGGCCAGGGACTCCCGGCAAGGCGGCTGGCCTGACATACCACTGAGCTGGGCAACACAGGTGGCGGGACCTCCTGCCCCACACAAGTGCACCAGTTTTGTCTTGTAGAAGGTATTGGGGGTCGCGAGATCTGGAGCCTGCTGGTGGCCAGAGTTTCATTCCCAGCTGCCCAGAGTTGGCTGTGCTGCAGGCCCCATCACCTTTGGGACCTGGGTTCTTTCCCATGTCCAGAACAGATTTCAGGGCTGGCATGAGTCTAGAGAGTCCCCTGGCTCTTATCAGCCAGCCCTCACCAGTTGAGGTGGACCCTGTCCCTTAGCTCAAGGGATTCAGCTCTTTCCCTCACTCCCCCAGCAGGCGAGATCCTGCCTATCCACCTCCTGAAATGATCACTCAGATGGATATTCTGATGGTCATTTGGGGAGAGTCTGGACCAACAGTTATACATCCTAGTCCCTGTGGGACTAGGGGGTTGGTGGCAGCAGAGACCCAGTCAGAGAAAGAAAATTGATGGGACAGTCAGCCTACTGAGTCTAGCCCATCCATTCAGTTCCAGAATCCCAGAGGACCCCCACCCTGCCCCATCCCAAGGGAGTAGAACTCCACTTGCTGATATAATCAGAAAGTTGGGAAAGGAAAGGGAAAATTGTATGTGGGGTAGGGGAGTTGAAGTGGACACAGACTTGAAATCTACCCCTCCAACAGCTCAGGATCTGCTGTTCCTGTGTCTGGGCAGCCCAGTTCACTCAGCCCCCTACTCATACTCAGCCACCTACTCATACTCAGCCCTCCTTCATTGCCCTGGTGCAGGGCCCAGAGGGTACAACAGTGATCCAAGCAGACAGGCCCCAGCCCCCAGAGTTCACAGTCTGGTTGGAAGACAGACCCTAAAGGAGAACTGACAACAGAGTTATGTGGCCTCAGGGTGGAAGCTATGTGGCGCCTAAAAGGGGGGACCAACCCAGGGCAGGTTTCCTGGAGGAAGAAGTTATAGGGTACAACTTGAAAAAGGAGAGGGAGCTGGTCAGGCTGAGAGTAGTGGGAAGCGGGTATAGGAGCAGTGGGGGCTGCTGTTTAAATGCTGAAGAGCCAGAACAGAAAGACTATGGGGGGAGCAGGGGACTATGAGGGGAGGAGTAGTTGAAGGTATATGAGGAAAGGGACAGAGCCTGAAGGGTCTTGTGGGTCATGTTAGAAAGTCTGGACTTTATCCTTGGGGCAGGGGGGTACCCACGGATGTTTCACAAGAGTCAGAATAGAGGGATATTAAAGATTTCGAGTCTTAGGGTTGGATCACCTGGGTTTGAATCCTGGCCCTGCCACTTACCAGCTGTGTAATCCTGGGCAGATTAGTAATTATTAGTAACAGCAGTTAATATCTGTTGTGTGCTTACAATGAGGTAGTGTGTCCACCCCAACTTCCCTACCCCACATACAATTCTCCCTTCCCCAAACACTCCCTATAGAGAGAAGTATCTCATTTCATCCTCCCAACAGCCCAGTGAGATAGTTGCTGTTTTTATTATTGTTGACATCTTCATTTAATAGATGGGTATCTGAAGCCCAAAAAGGTTTAGAAATGTCTTGCCCAAAGTCACAGCCAGTTAGCCTCAGGTTTCTCATCTGTGAAGTGGGGCTAATAGGACTTACCCCATAGGATTGTTGCCAGAATTAAATGAGATGTTGTTTGTTAATTAAGCACAGTGCCTGGCATATAGAATGCACTTGATAAAGGACAGTTTTTGGCATTGTCAGGTGACTGGAATTTTAAGAGCAATGTTGTTATTGAATAAAGAATGGATCCTTGTGGGTTAGAGTGGAGAGAGGGAACCCATGAGGAAGTTGCTGTAGGGTTCTAGGTGAGAGTTGGTGACGACTTGGACCTGAATTCTAGCTATGGGGGTGGAGTTGAGGGGGCAGATTCCAGAGATGGCAGGAGTGGGTGGCTGAGTGGATGTAGGGGGTACCCAGGATGACTCCTAGTTTCTGTCTTGAACGACTGGGTAAATAGATCGTGGGGCTGTCATGAAGAGGTGAACACCAGGGAGAGTCAGGTTTGAGGAGGAAGGTGGTGAATTCAGTTTGGAGACTTCAAACTCAGCACATCCCTAATAGCCCACTCCAATTGTCACCCAGCTTCTGGGGAGGCATCAAGCAGACAGTTAGATATACAGGCCTGGTGCTCAGAAGAGCGGTTTGGGCGAGGAAGAGATAAGGAAGCTGGCAACATTTAGATGGCATGAAGCTGTGGGAGATGTACACAGCCCAAGGGCAGGGAGGATGAGGCTCATTTGGGGATGGGGAGAAAGCCAGATCCTCTGTGGGAAAACGAGATGTGCAGCCAGAGAGAGAAGTGGAAACCCAGGAGCATGTTTCCTCTTGAAATTCAAGAAAAGGAAAGGCTCAAGGAAGAGGAAGAGAACTACACAGTGAAAAGCTTTACTGAGATTAAGCAGGATAAGAACTAAACACTGGACTCTGGATTCAGCAACAGGGAGATCACAGGTAACCTTGTCCAGACCAGTCAGGGGAGTGGTGGGTACAGAAGGTGGACCAGGATGGGAAGAGGAGTGGGTGGGTGTAGAGAGGAAATGGAGGTAGACATCTCTTCAAGAAACTTGGCTCTGAAAGGGCCAGATAGGGTGAGGGGTGGGGTAGCTAGAAAGAGACTTGGGGTCATTTCTTTTTGTAGTTATTTATTTAAAGTCGACTTTATATTGAAATGTACATACTGAAAGGGCCCATGTCCTAAGTGTATAGCTCGATACATTTTCACAAGGGAATACAGCCATATAGGATCAGGAAATAGACCCTAAATTAGGAAATAGATCATAACCAGCACCCTGGAAGCCCCCTTGTGCCCGCTTCCAGTCACTACTCCCCAAGGGTAACTACTATTCTGACTTCTATCACCATAGATTAGTTTTGCCTGTTTTTGAACTTCATATCGACGGAATCGTACATATATCCTCTCTTGTAGTCTTGCTTCTTTCACTCAACGTTATATCTGTAGGATTCATCCATATTGTTGCATGTAGTTGTATATTGTTCATTCTTTTTGTTGTGTAGCAGTCCATTATCTACTGGTGGGTATTTGGATAGTTTCCAGGGTTGTTTTCATTTTTTATGTGGGAGTGACTTGAGCTTGTTTGAAGCTTGTGGAGAAAATCTGAAACACTCATCTTCTGTGAGAAGGGAGACAGATGACCAGGGCCACACATGAGGATTTCCTGAGTGGGAAACGAGAGCCTGGCTGAGGTTGAGAACTGCTCTGTGGTTCCAACCCAGCTGCCGGGCCAAGGCATCTGGCAGCTCCCGCCAGCCTGTGTGCAGGTGCAGAGAAGCAGGGAGTTGGGTTGCCCAGAGTTGGTTTCTGCCAGGTAAGAGAGAAGCCCAGAGTGCTAGGGATATTAGCAGCAGGCGAGCAATGGAGTGGTGGCTGTGGATCCAGGCTGGGGAGAAGGGTGTGCAGGGAAAGTAGGGAAGAAAAGGTGGGAGAGAGCTAGCAGAGAGAAAGGAAACAGAGGGGGATTGTGAGCTCTGTGCAGGGTGCTGTCTGTGCAATTCCAGGCTGTATCTCCAGTGACTGGCACATGCTTGGCACAGGGTTTTCATTCAGTGGATAGCTGAATAAATGAGCTGAGGCCGCAAGAGGTCTGAGGTCGAAGGCAGGTGAGATGGGGGTGATGGAGAGAGCCTGAAGGTGTGGTCAATGCAGTTATGATTTAGGAAAGGGGCATTCCAGAGCCAGGTGATAAGGCTGGGGTATTCTTGTAGGGGGTGGCTGCAGGGAGCAGAGAGGCCAATATTGGGTGGGCAATCTACCAGAATGCATAGTTGCCAGTGTAGGATGCACAGCACCCAGTCTTCAAGGAGGAAGGGCAGGAGAGCATTTCTCAAACTGGGGTCCTTGGACATCTTGCATCTGAATCTGTAGGGGGGTGGTGGGCTTGCTGGAAATGCAGACCCCTTGGCCCACCCCAGCCTCATGGGGAGAAAGTAAGCCCAGTGGGGCAGAATTGAACATCAAAGAGCAAGAGGGTTTATGGAGTGGGGGAGCACCCAGCCCCTCCGAGGGGATAGGATGCCCAATGGACCCTAGCCCTGGTGGCCTCTATCCTGGCTGGAGATGAACAAGGGATATTCAAGGAAGAAATAGTGGGGGTGGGAAAGGGCTGACACCAAGGGGATTCAGCCCATGTGAGCTGGGAGCCATAAGAATGGGGCCTCTGCCCTAGGATGCAGCTTCTGATAGAGAGGAGGCCCTGGTTGATCAGTGGGACCTGATGCTCTTCCCTGAGACCTGGGAGGAAGAGGGAGTGCCCACACTGAGCACCCCCTCCTTGGGTGTAGGGCTGGGGGTGGTGCATGGGGCTGTGGGACACTGCACCCAGTTCCTTCTCTGCTTCCTTCTGGGGACAGCCACGCATAATAATGGGGTTGATCCAGCCCCACACTTTTAGCCCCTCTCTCTTCTCAGCCTCCCATGCTCAGTGCCTGACTCTCTGCTCTCCATTGGCACAGTCCCTCCACTCAGCACCCCTAGCCCTTCCTTCCACTCTCTCAGACCCCACTCTCTAGCCTTCACACACTCAGAACCCCAAATCTCAGCCCTCTGTTCAGCTCTCTCTCAGCAGCCCTCAACAGCCACTCTGTGAGCCCCCCATGCTAACTGCACCCAATCCAGCCCCCACTCAGTGTCCTCATTCTATTTATCCCTTCATATACACCGCCGCCCAGCTCAACTCCCCTTACCCACACTTCTGACCCCAGTCGAGAAAACCTCCGTCAGGCTCCTCCCCTAGGGGAAACCCCAGTCACCCCTCCCAGAAACCGGGCGGGACAAGGTCTCGGTGCCCCCCTGGTCCGGCCAGTCCCGCCCCATCCCGGCGGGCTGAGTCAGGCGGCAGGAACTGGGCGGGGGGCAGCGCCGGGAGGAGCTGAAGCCCGAGCCAGAGTCGCTGGGAGCGAGCGCGGAGCCCAGCCGGGCCGGCACCGAGTGGCCCTGGGCCGGCGGAGACACTGGGAGGGGCAAGCGCGGGGGGTGGGGGGCTGTCCCAGACCTACCATGAGCGCCAAGAAGAGAGGTAGGACCCCGTCTGGGGCTGCGAAGGCTCCGGGGCTGACTCCAGTGGGTGCGGGCCGGATTCTGGGGGCCAGGGACGCGCGTTTCGCTGGAGCGGGTTGGAGGTCTGCGGAGGATCCCTTCCCGCTACGGGCGCGGGCGGAGGTGTCCGTCTGTGACTCAGTTTCCAGGTCCGAGTCGCAGGAAAGTGGAGGGGGCGGAGCACTTCTCGGCACTGCCCCCCACTCTGGGAATCCCCCGGCTCGGGGCACAGGGAGGGCTCTGATGTCTGGGCGCCTGGGAGCCGGTGGGGCCTGGAGGGGAGCAGCTTACTCAGAGCGGGTGGGTCGCGGGAGCCAAACCCGCGCAGGTCGGGCCTGTGGGGCAGCTCGGCTGGGCTGAGAGAGCGCGCCCCGCCCCGTGACCTCCTGCGGCCTCGCGGGGTGCGGGCGCGGGAGCTCCTGGTCTACTTGGGGCGAAGAGGTCAGGGGCTGGGCCGGGGAGCGCGCCCCGCCCCCGGGTAAACAGGCGCTTCCGCACATTCTTCGCGCGTCCCGCCCCTTTCCTGCCGCTTCCCAGCCGGGAGAGGGTCCCCGCGCGACCCCCCTTCCTGCCCCGCGGCAGGCGGAGCCTGCACCTCGGCAGGAAGTGGGGGCCGAGCGGAGGCCACGCTGAGTCCGAGGCCGAGTCGTCCGTGGCCGCCCTGTCATTAGCGCCAAGGCCGGCGGGGCTGTCGGAATCCCGGCGTCAGGCCGTGTCCGGCAGGACTAAGATACTGAGGCCGGGCCGCGGGGTGGAGGCTTCAAGGGCCCTACTGGCGCTGGAAACCCGTCCTCGCCACCCCCAGGGAGCCCCGCGCGGACTCATTCCATGATGTCCCTGTCGGTGCGGCCGCAGCGCCGCCTGCTCAGCGCCCGGGTCAATAGGAGCCAGTCCTTCGCAGGCGTCCTCAGCAGCCACGAGCGGGGGCCCAGGTACGCAGCGGAGGGGGGCTAATGGGGTCAAGAGAGTCAGATGGGGTTGGGACTGGGAGTGCAGTGAGGGTTTGGGGGACTCCTTCTCGTCCCTTGCTGAGTGTAGCCTCTTCTTCAGGAGCTTCCCGGCCTTCAGTCCCCCGGGGCCCCCACGGAAGCCCCCAGCGCTCTCCCGAGTTTCCAGGATGTTTTCCGTGGCTCACCCAGCCCCCAAAGTCCCGCAGCCTGAGCGGCTGGACTTGGTGTACGCTGCACTCAAGCGGGGCCTGACGTAAGTAATTCCCTCTCAACACCTTGTCCCAGGATCCCTCCCCAAGCCCCCATCCCCTTTCCTCTAGTAGGAACCTTCACCAGTCCCACACCCTCTCCCCACTGTCTGTACCGTGGACATCTGAAGGCTGGAAAGGTAAGGTAATTCTTGTTGTCACCCCTTTCCCCAGGGCCTACTTGGAAGTGCACCAACAGGAGCAGGACAAACTCCAGGGGCAGATAAGGGAGTCCAAGAGGAATTCCCGCCTGGTGAGTGAAGGGTTGGCAAGGATGCCCTGGACTAATGCCTTTTGCCCTGTGGTGTGGGGGGCTGGGCAGGGCCAGCCCTGGGTGACATCAGAGCTGTTTTCTGGAGTGATTTAGTCCAGGTGTGACTAGAAAAGGGGATATCAGGAAAGAGTGGGGAGGTTTCTATCCTCAGCTTCCCCAAGCTGTGCACACTTTCCGCCTGGGACCCAGTGCCTGCCCATGGGAGCTTCAGGGGGGTGGTTTGGACCTCCGTAGACATAGAGAACAGGAGATTATGTTGTAGTGGTACTGAGAGAGAGCCATGGTTCTTCCTGGGGAAGAAGTCAGGGCTCCCCAGAGGAGGAAACACTTCTGCTGAGTCTTGAAAGATGACTAGGAGTTTTCCAATAGAGAGAACCATGCATGAAGAGACACAAAGCTCTCTTCCTAGGGGTTGCGGGAAAGAGGGTGGTCCAGGGGAGGGATCCCAGGGGAGGGAGCTGGAGGGGTCTCGGAGACCAGATCTGTGTCACCAGCACCCACCAAGGGCCAGGCATGTGGGGGGGGGGGCGGTCAGCCCCTGCTTTGATTGGAGTGGCTGTGGACTGTAATGTGAGGGGGAGGAAGGCTGTGAAGGAGAGGAGCTAGATGGGTCTACGTGGGCAAGTGCCCCTGCTCGAATACTTCCTATACCTCCTAAGTGCCCCCTCTCATCTCCTCCTGCAGGGCTTCCTGTATGACTTGGACAAGGTGAGTGTATAGAGAATGGTGTTGGAAGAGGTTGGCGCATGGGGAGGGTAAAGGGCCCTGGGCCTCAGACCCCTCCTCATGCACCTCTCCCCCAGCAAGTCAAGTCCATTGAACGCTTCCTGCGACGGCTGGAGTTCCATGCCAGCAAGGTACATGTGCAACATGCATGTGTGCATGCGGAGTGGGGTGGGGGATTGGATATCATAAGGAGATGGGAGGATGCTAGGCCCTGGGTGAGCAGCCCCAGTAGTGAGTCTCAATTCCCCCACTGCCACCCCACTCACCTGCCCAGATCGACGAACTGTATGAGGCGTACTGTGTCCAGCGACGTCTCCGGGATGGTGCCTACAACATGGTCCGTGCCTACAGCACTGGGTCCCCAGGGAGCCGCGAGGCCCGGGACAGCCTGGCTGAGGCCACTCGGGGGCATCGAGAGTACACAGAGGTGAGGGTTGGGTGGCATAGGGTATGGCAGAGTTGGTGAGAAGGGACTGGTTTTTGATCCCTTCCTGTCCCTGCCCATCCCTCCCAGAGCATGTGTCTGCTGGAGAGTGAGCTGGAGGCACAGCTGGGCGAGTTCCATCTCCGCATGAAAGGTACTGAGTTGTGGGAGCAGACTGGTGGTGGGGGAGACGGAAATGTATGCCTGAGACCCCTCAACATGGCTCATCTCCTTCTCCCACACTCCCAGGGCTGGCCGGCTTCGCCAGACTGTGTGTGGGCGATCAGTATGAGGTATGAGGATGTGCAAGGAAGGGCTGGGATGGCAGAGTGACACATGACACGAAGGGCTGCCTCATCATGTCTGTTCCCTAGATCTGCATGAAATATGGGCGTCAGCGCTGGAAACTACGGGGCCGCATTGAGGGTAGCGGAAAGCAGGTGTGGGACAGTGAGGAAACCGTCTTTCTTCCTCTGCTCACGGAATTCTTGTCCATCAAGGTGATGTCTCTGCCCCGAACCACAGGACACCATGATCCTGTGACTTCATGATCCTCTGAACCCCTTATGACCCTGAGACCCTTACCCCTGTGACCCCTGCCTGCCTCCATGGCCCTATGAATGTGTGACCCCATGACTTTCATGATCCTGTGATTTTCTCATGATCTTCTGACCTTATAAATATTTGACCCCCTGAACCCCCATGAGGCTGTGACCCCCATGACATCAATGACTTTACAAACTCATACTTCTGTGATCCCCATGTTCCCAGGCTGCTTCAAGCCTCCATGGCCCCATTACCTGGAGAACTCCAATCCCTATAAGCTCTTCATGGCCCCATGACCCTGTCACCATCACATAACCTTTATGCAAATTCAGACCGCTCATCTCCCACGATCTCATGACCCCATGATGCATTCTTGGCTACAGGTGACAGAGCTGAAAGGCCTGGCCAACCACGTAGTTGTAGGCACCGTCTCTTGCGAGACCAAGGACCTATTTGCTGCCCTGCCCCAGGTTGTGGCAGTGGATATCAATGACCTCGGCACCATCAAGCTCAGCCTGGAAGTTACATGGAGGTTGGTGGGGCTGAGGGGTTTGGGGACAGGGCAGGGGGCCTGTGGCACCTGCTAACAGCCTCTTCCCTCCCCAGCCCCTTCGACAAGGATGACCAGCCCTCAGCCGCTTCTACTGTCAACAAAGCCTCCACAGTTACCAAGCGCTTCTCCACCTATAGCCAGAGCCCACCAGACACGCCCTCACTTCGGGAACAGGCCTTCTATGTGAGTCACAGCCCAGGCTCAGGCCTCACCATCCCTCAGGGGTTCCCTGGGGTGGTCCTGAAATGCACTTTCCCCTCTTCCAGAATATGCTGAGGCGACAGGAAGAGTTGGAGAATGGGACGGCGTGGTCCCTGTCATCTGAATCTTCAGATGACTCATCCAGCCCACAGCTCTCAGGTGCTGCCCGCCACTCCTCAGCCCCCAGACCCCTGGTACAGCAGCCTGAGCCTCTGCCCATCCAAGTCGCCTTCCGTAGGCCTGAGACCCCCACCTCTGGACCTATGGATGAGGAGGGGTCCATGGCCCCAGCCCTGGCCAATGGGCATGCCCCCTACAGCCGGACTCTGAGCCATATCAGTGAGGCCAGTGTGGATGCTGCCTTGGCTGAGGCTTCAGTGGAGGCTGTGGGCCTAGAATGCGTATCCCGGGGACCTAGCCCACCGGCACACCCAGATCCCACACCTGGGGAACACCCTGGTCCTGTTTCTCCTGCCCTGGACCCTAGCAATTCTGCTACAAGTCCCACTCTTAGTACAACAAGCCCTGCCCACGTGTCTACAGACCCTGCCCCAACTGCACACCTAGACTTGGTTCATAAGGCCCCAGACTCTAGCTCTCCTGAACTGCCAGGCCCTACCCACACTACTACAAGCTCCACCTGTAGTGCCATAAGCCCTACCCACAGTGCTCCAGGTCTCACTCACACTACCACAGTTTCCACCTACAAGCCCATGCTCTCTACCCTCACTATTACAGGCCCTACCCCCAGTGCCACAGACCCAGCCCAGACCACCACAAGTCCCACCCACACTGTCACAAACCTGACACATACTGTCACAAGCCCCACAGACAAGCTCATGCTTTCTACTCTCAGTACTACAGGCCCCAACCCCAGTATCACAGGCCCAGCCCAGACCACCACAAGCCCCACCCACAAGCCAATGCTTTCTACCCTTATAACTGCAGGTCCTACCCCCAATACTACAGGCCCAGCCCAGAGCACCACAAGCCCCACCCACACTTCTGCAAGCCCCACCCACACTACTGCAAGCCCTACTCACAAAGCCAGGATGTCAACTCACACCACTACATGTCCTATCCCCAATGCTAAGGACCCAGTCCAGACCACCAGGAGCCCCACCCATCCTGTCACAAGCCCCACCCTTATAACTGTAAGCCCTTCTACTTCTCTAGACCTCGCCACACTCCCCAGCCCCTCTGCACACACAAACCCCACTCTCCCAGGCACTGATCCCCTGTCCTGTAGCCCCCCAGCCTCCATTCCCTGCACTCAGGCAGACCTCATAGCCCCCAGCACCTCTTACCCAAGTCATACCTGTTCCAGTTGGGAACCCCTCACAAGCCCTTCCCTAGACCCCCAAGAGCCCATCCTTCAGAGCCCAAACCCTCCTCCCTCATCCCTAGCCCCTGTGCCCCAGCACTCAGACTTTAGCCTGGCCATGGCTGCCCAGGCCCCAGTTCCAGGGGCAGCTGGAGAGGCTGGGGACAGGAGGCTGGAGGAGGCACTGGGGGCCCTAATGGCTGCCCTGGATGACTATCGTGGCCAGTTCCCTGAGCTGCAAGGCCTGGAGCAGGAAGTGACCCGGCTGGAGAGTCTGCTCATGGTGAGGAAAGCCGGGCTGGGCTGCAGCAGCACAGGGAGGGCAGCCAGGCAGTGGCGGTGGCTCTGACTCCTTTCACAACCCCAGCAGAGACAAGGCCTGACTCGAAGCCGGGCCTCCAGTCTTAGCATCACTGTGGAGCATGCACTGGAGAGCTTCAGTTTCCTCAACGAGGATGAAGATGAAGACCATGATGGTCCTAGGGACAGGTGAGGGGGGCTAGGTGAGACGGGACTAGATGAGGGGGAAGAGGTAAGATGAGTGCCAGGTGAAGAAAGGTGAGAAAGGGGAACAGGTGAGGTGGGGCCAAGTGGAGCACATGAGGTCAGCAGCAAGACTGGAGGTGGGCAGGAGGGATGGACTTACTGGCAGGTACATTTGTGTTCACTCCTTCCGTGTACTCCTCATGTGTCCTGATGCCCACGTTTCCAACCCCATGTGTGTCCCCAGTGCTTCAGACCACCCTTCTTCTCGTCCCTGCAATGTCTTCCTCCCCAGCTGGTCCCCATCAGCTTATGAGCCTCCAGCTCCTCCTCTCTCCCTTGGCCTCACCTTGGACTTACCCTATGAACAAGCCCTTTCAGTGCCTCTCCATCCATTGTCTGTTATCTGTGCATTGTCTGTTCTTCCATTCTGGGATGGGGGGAGCTTAATAAAAATACACTGCTGACCAGATGGTGATGCATGTTCCTGGGGTGGTTGACCCCATTTTTCTCTCAGGCCCCCAAGCAGCCCGGAGCCTGGGGCTGAGGACAGCCTCGACTCGCTCAGGTCCCGTCCCCTCAGCACAGAGTGTCCAGCTCTGGACGCTGCCTTGGTCCAGCACCTGTACCACTGCAGTCGCCTCCTGCTGGTGAGGCTAGTGGTATTCCCCCCACCCTCCTGTTGCAGCCTCTTACCCCAGGGAGCCCTGCACTTCAATCTTGGCCCTCCACACCTCCTTTGAGTTCCACTCCCAATGCCCCAGGGTCCTGGCATCTGAATCTTACTGAATAGAACACCTCCTGCACTCTGGCTCCCCACAGCCTCTCCTGATGCATGCTGGGACTTGTAGTCCCCATGTTTCACCCTCCCTAAGCCCTACTGTGAGGTCTGAGCTACTTGGCCACCCCTATTCTCCAGAAACTGGGCACATTTGGGCCCCTGCGCTGCCAGGAGGCATGGGCCCTGGAGCGGCTGCTGCGGGAGGCCCGAGTAATTGAGGCAGTATGCGAGCTTAGCAGGCGATGGGAAATCCCTGCCACCTCCGCCCAGGAAGGTAAAGGCCCTGTGGGCTCTGGCTTGGTGTCTCCCCTGAAGCTCCTCCCTTGCCCTACCACATCTATACCTGTCTGCCCACCTGCCTGCTCTGTTGCTGATGCTTTCCTACACCTCCTCACAGTGGTGCAGTTCTCAGTCTCTCGGCCCGGCTTCCTGACCTTCTGGGACCAGTGCACAGAGGGACTCAGCCCCTTCATCTGCCCTGTGGAGCGGGTGCTCCTCACCTTCTGCAATCAATACAGTGCCCGTCTCTCCCTGCGCCAGCCAGGCTTAGCAGAGGCTGGTGCGTGGGCTGCCTACATGCCCCCTCTGCCCTCCTTTCTCAGATCCCCAGTGATTCCCCACACAGACATGCTGAGCTGAGCACTGGGAAGAAATAGCAAAGGCTCATGCCTTGGTACAATACCCTGGATGGGTAGGGTTTGGACAGGGGGCCCCTGGACCCGAGCCTGAAGTGGGAGCACTCTTCTCTCTAAGGCCTGGGTCCATCCAAACCCTGAGGCCTGCGGCACTGCCTCCCACAGTATGTGTCAAGTTCCTGGAGGATGTCCTGGGGCAGAAGCTGCCCAGGAGACCCCAGCCAGGCCCTGGAGAGCAGCTCACCATCTTCCAGTTCTGGAGTTACGTCGAATCCTTGGACAGCCCTTCCATGGAGGGCTATGTGACTGAGACCGCTGAGGAGGGTGAGGCAGTGCCCTGATCACAAAGTGGCCTGACCCTACGGGTGGGTCTGAAGGTGTGGATGAGAACACTAGTATACAAAAGATCTCACCCCAGGAGGCTCCTTGCCCTGCCCCCTTGTCCCAAGGCCCTCTTCCTTCTTTCAGTGTTTCTGGTGCGGAATCTGAACTCAGATGACCAGGCTGTTGTGCTGAAGGCCCTGAGGTTGGCGCCTGAAGGGAGGCTACGAAGGGATGGGCTCCGGGCCCTCAGCTCCCTGCTCGTCCATGGCAACAACAAGGTCATGGCTGCTGTCAGTACCCAGCTCCGGAGCCTGTCACTGGGCCCTGCCTTCCGGGAAAGAGTGAGAGTTGGGCAGGGCTACCTTGAGGGCAAAGGCTGGGGTCCCAGGCTCCCAGTGTCTGGCTAAGTGTGCCCTCCCACCCTTACCCAGGCCCTACTGTGTTTCCTGGACCAGCTTGAGGATGAGGATGTGCAGACGAGAGTAGCTGGCTGCCTGGCCCTGGGCTGCATCAAGGTGACGACTGCCTACCCATCCACCCTTTCTTTCTCCTCCTGGTGCCCCCAGCCCTGGGCTTTGGGCCTTTCCCACCTGTTCCACTGGGCCCACCTCAATGCTCCCTCCCCCGGTAGGCTCCCGAGAGCATTGAGCCCCTGGTGTACCTGTGCCAGATGGACACAGAAGCCGTGAGGGAAGCTGCTCGGCAGAGCCTGCAACAGTGTGGTGAGGCTGGGGGATGGGAGATAACGGTTAAGTCGAGTTTTGGGACATTTTGGCTGAGGGGAGTAGGGGTGAGATGGGGTCAGGGGTAGGAGGGCCAGGATGGGGCTAGAGCTACTCCTGACCCCATTCTCACTCATTACAGGGGAAGAAGGACAATCTGCCCATCGACAGCTGGAGGAGTCACTGGACGCCCTGCCCCGAATCTTTGGGCCCGGCAGCATGGCCAGCACGGCATTCTAAACTCCCTACCCACAGGCTCCCAGTGCCCCTTTCCCCCACGTGCAGGGCTTACCAGGCACTGGCAGGGAGGGTGAGGGCTGGCTCCAGACAAACCTCCCCCACAGATTCCTATCAATCAATGAAAATCTAATATATTCTTCTGTTGCCCCTGGGGTTGGTAGAGTCAGTGCCTGCAGTCAAGTGCCTCCCAGCCTCGGCTCAGCACACTTGCCACAAGTCAGTGTCCCGGGCCTGGCCATCCTGCCTCTGCCCCATTACATCCCTTGGTTTTGTATTTTATTTACAGAGTTTTACAGAAAATAAAGCAAAATGCCTTTCCTACATGGCATAGCCTGGTGCACTCCTGACCCTCTGTTCCAGCTGTGGCCTCTGGCTGTGGCCCTTCCTGACACTAGTGTGTCCACACTCCAATGGTATGTGCTTTTGCCCCGGAAATCCAGGTGGAAGAGAGCCCAGAGATTGGAACTGGCTTGGAGAAGAGGGCAGAGGAAGAGGGTGGGCGGATGTTGCTGAGGAGGCTCAGCCTGCAGGCTGGGCATGCCCTGGGTCTAGAAGCTACAGGCCCGGGCTGGAGCCAAACTGTGGAGTTGGCCTAGAGAAGGCCCAAAGGTGCCATTCCTAGGAACAGCTCCCCAGCAGCTAGCTTCCCATGACTGCCCCGAGGCAAAAAGAAGCAGGCAGGAAAAGAAAGTGCGGTGGTGGCTAGAGCTTATGGCCACCAGGGGGCAGCAGAACCCTGTCAGGACCAAGCTTCTGAGTCTTTCCTCTGCCCAGGCAGCTTCCTACAGAGGGGGCTGAGCAAAGGAGCTCCTTGAGGGCTGGGTAATTGAGAGAGAGGAGATCCTTGCAGAGGGGAAGAGCTGGGGCCTGGGAGGCAGGAGAACTGGATGGCTGCCCTGTGACCCTAAACAGCAAGTCCCTCCTCTCCCTGAGCTGCCTCTTCTCTGTAATAACAAACCTGACTGAACCCAGTGGCCTCCCACAGCCGGCCAACCCGCCCCATGCTCCATGCTGCTTCGGGAAGCAGGGCTCCAGGGAGAGGGCTCACCTCCCCCAGAGCTGCCTGACACATGAGTGTATAAACGTCAGAAGGTTAAGAGTTCTATGGGAGGAACTTGAGGGTAGGGTGGGACTTCAGGATGGCAGGCCTGTTCTAAGGAGGGCCTGAGGGAGGCCCACACCCAAGGCTGGAGAAACAGGCCCTCCACCCTTCCCCTCTCCCTCCAGAGCTTTCATTATCCAGGGGCAAGGGAGACAGTGCACGGGCAGGGCTTTCCCCACTCCCTCAGCCCCCTCTGGTGTCCCAATGTCTGTGGCAGTAGCACAGCAGCATGACACACTGGGGAAAGTGTGTGCGCCTGCACTCAGGAAGAGCCAATGAGGTGCCAACAGTCCCCCCTGGGGGTGGGGGTGACCTAGATCCCCAGGGAGCCCTGCCCCCCAGTGTTTTAGGGCTGTGTATGAAGAGGTTTGGCTGGGCACTTAACCACCTGCTGGGGAAGCCAAGCTGAGCAGAAAAAACGGCAACAGGAAGGAGCACAGGAAACACCTGTGTGTGGATGCAGGTGGCTCATTCCAGACTAGTGGGGGTGGGGGTGGCAGTGGCAGTGGGGGTGGGGGCGGGCAAACAGCTCTCAGCGCATTGACACAGCTCTGTGCTCTCTCTGTCACTAAAGGGTGGTACGGTAGGGATAGTGTGCAGCTCAGCCTTTTGGGTAGTCGGCTGGGGTGGCAGGGAGTGGAGAAGGTAAACAAGTGATAGAAACCAAGCCAGCACCCAAAGCTGGCCACAGCTTGGGCCTGCCCCAAGGGCCCCTGCAGGAGGGTTGCAGTCTCAGAACCACCCCTAGGAGCCCCTCAGGCCTGAGGCACCACAAGAGGCCCACTGGTAGGCCAAGACTGTACACTTGCATCCAAAGCGTAGCCTGTGTGGTGGGGAAAGAGGAAGTGAACACTGGCTGACCAGATCCTGGGAAAGTGCAGACGGGTGACTGGGCCAGCACGAGCTCACAGCTTAATCCATAGGAGAGGACGGCCTGGGCAAGAAATGTAGGATGGAAAAAATATCATTCCAGCTAGAGGTCAACTGAGACTGTAACTGAAAATCTGAGTGGCCCTTCATCCCTGCTGTCTAATGGTGGGAAAGGGTAGGGCTCCTAATTTTCTGTTCTCTACAAAGAGGGTCCTGAGGGCAGAACCTAGTATTCAGCTCTAGCCAAGGGTGAGTGTGAGGGTCAGAGTGGGCACTGTGAGCACAGCCAGACACAGGTGAAGGACTGTCAAAGCCAAGACAAAAAGAGCCTCAGGCCTTTGCTCCATCAAGCCTACCTAGCTCAGAGCACTGTGAGTCAACCATAGAACAGCCACTCCACCCCTCTCCCTCAGTGACTTGAAGTCAGGTTCGATGGGCTCCTACACCCGGGCCCCAGCCCACGTCTTTGAGGTGGTGGAGGGCAGGGAGAGCCCTTGTCCTCCCTCCTGTACACCCTCCCCTCCTCCAAGACACACATAGTCTCACAGGTCTTCCCACAGGGCAAAGCTGCTCCCAGCACTCCCCCCACCTCCTACCCTACTGTCATGCTGGTTCAGGAAGGCATTCATTCCTGCTGCCCCGACTCCAGACAGTCGGGAGCTTGCTGTCCCAGCTGATGGGAGATTGATGACACCATCAGGAGTCAAAGACAGCAGGGCAGGGAAAGCCTGTGCCCAGCTGTCCTGTGGAGCCTGTGCCAGCCTCTTTGAGGGGAGAGAAGGAAGTGGGCCTCCAAGGCCTGTGACACAGTGAGAAGCGCGCCATCAATCAAGTCCATTGAGGCCACAGCCATGCCTTGGCCACAATTGTTGGGGCTTTTCCCAAAGGGAACTGATAAGCATGCACTGCAAAAAACGGACCAGGCAGAGGTAGTCCAGGATATGATTTATTGTGTTGGTGGTCACTGGAGTTTCCCCCACTCTCCTCTTTTCCTCTTGCCCTCTTCCAACCTTACCTTTCCTCGTGTCTCCCACTTTTCTTCCTCATGTATTCAAAGCTTCAGAGAACCAAAAAAAGAAGAAAGAAAAAAAAGGCATGTTTGTGAAGGCAAAGAAGCAGATGGGTTGGCATGTGGGAAGAGGACTGCTTCTTTGTCTCGCCCACAGAGCGGAGCAGGGGTGCCTTTCGTGTGTGTTTCTGTGCCTAGTGTGTGGGTACAATTTGCTGAACCCATATGACATGCTCCCTCCTTTCCCTCCACCGCCCCCCACCCCGACAGCCCTGGAGTGTCCTATTCAGGCCATCCATCCCCCATGGACAGAAGCCTCTTGGCTTGGCTGCTGGAGCTGGCTCTTTTGGGCCTGGGTAATACAGGATGGTGAGCTTGGGAAGGACTCCAGGACCTATACAAACTGGTAAGGAAGAACACTCTATTGTTTAGGAAATAAGACTGTCATTGGCCTGCAAGAAAAGGGCTTCTTGTTTCAGAAAGTTGCAATGGAGTGATGGCACGGTTTGAGTTTGATGTCAACGGTCAAGTCTCACTTGTCTCTGAATATATCCAGGGCATATGGACCCTCAATAAATGCTGACTTAGAGCAGCTGAATAAACAGATGAATTGCCATGGCTCACACCTACGTTTCTAGCTATTTCCTCTGAATCTCCTTACAGCCTTCTCCTCCACCTCCTCCTCAAGCATTCTCTTACAAACATCACTCCACAGGATTTCATTCTAGACCCTTTTCTCCTCTCTTAAAACACACTCCTTGAATCACCTTACCCATTCCTCTAGCTTCCATCTATATGCTGAGGCTGTATGCCAATGATTGACATGGCTCTCTCCTCACCTCCAGACCTCCACATCCAACTGCTGACTAGATACCTCCTTTTGAACAGCATGCTCAAAATTAAACTCAACATCTCAAAACCCATTTCTCCTCCAGGGCTCTTGGAGTTACCAACTACCCAGGTACCGAAGCCACACAACTGGGCCTCATCTTTGACTCTTGCCTCTGTCTCCTCATCCTAGCCATCAGAATCTTCTCAATTAAATGCCCTAAATATTTCTAAATTTTGTCCACTTCTCTTTATCCCTATTGGTACCACTCAGGTTCAGGACACACTGACCTCTCACCTAGACACTAAAACTGCCTCCTCATGGGCTTCCTGCCTCTGGTCTTGCCCCTCTTCCATCCATTCTCCAAGGTGCAGTCAGAGTGATTTCTAAAACATAAATCTACCACTATAGGCTCTCTTTCTCTTAGGGAAAATTCCAGCCCCCAAATCCTGGCTCACAAAGCCCTTTGAGTCTGTTCCCCTCTTCAGCCTCACTTCTGCCACCTAACATCTCACTCTGCATTGGAGCCTCACCAAACTGCTTGCAGGGCTTGCTTGCCCTTCCATGGTTCACTCTTTCCACCCCTCATCTTGCCTTGCTAATGCCTGTTCACCTGACAGGCTTCAATCAGACATCACAAATTTCTTTGGGAAGCTGCCCCACCACTACGCTCCTGTCACAGGAGCCTGTGCTTTCCCTAGTATAATACTAATCACACCCGATTACAATTGCTTATTTACTTTGTAGCCTCCAATATATACATCCATAAGTATTTTAAGATTTTATTTATTTATGAAATAATTTTTGCCCTTTCATTTTCTTTATTTTTTTCCTAAAATTCCAATTAGCTTGATATTTTATTTATTTATTTTTTGGCTGAGGAAGTTTTGCCCTGAGCTAACATCTATTGCCAGTCTTCCTCTTTTTGCACGTGAGCTGCCACCATGGCATGGCCACTAACAAATGAATGGTATAGGTCCGCGCCCGGGAACTGAATCTGGGCCGCTGGAGAGGAGTGCACCAAACTGAACACTAGGACATGGGGCTGGCCATTGACATTTTATTTTATGCATTGATTCAATTTGTCTGTTGTATTTTCTCTCATTTTCTTCACCTATTTAGCTCTAAGTTCTGGGAAATTTCTTCAACTTAATCTTTCAGACTCTTTATTGAACTTCTTATATTGTCATTCATGTTTTTATTTCCTGAGATCTTATATTGTTTCTGATGTTTTATTTTTTAATAAAATTATCCTCTTGTTTTATGGCTGTAATATATCTTGAATCTCTCTGTGGATGTTAATTAGAACTTGAAAATATCTTTCCTGAATAATCTATTACCTTTGGAGTTAGTTGCCCTATTTATTCATTTTGGACTTTCTTTTTCAAGATGTTGATTTTCCTCAAATTTTGTTCATCTTAGTTCTCTTTTTTATTATGGACTTTTGTCCAGTGACCATTAGCTATCTGTTGTATATAGAATGAAGATATCTAGAATAAAGATAATT